AAAAAAAAGATATTGTATCAAAAAATCTGAAATCAAATTTTAAGCGGTCGAGATGAAAAAGATTACAGAGAAGTCATATTCTGATCCCTATAGAAAAAGAAAGAGCTTGTGAACTATATTTTAAGTTTTTTCTCCTATCCGTTCAAGTCTCCAACATGATATTTATGAAATTTCATAAAAATGAATAAGTTTTTATTATTTGTTTAGATATATTAGGCACACAGAAAGGTCCCGTAGCTCAGTTGGTTAGAGCGTTGGTCTTATGAGCCGAAGGTCGCGGGTTCGAGCCCCGCCGGGACCATCTTTAATGCATTTCACTTTTTAGATCAGCCAAGCCTTTTCGTGTACCGCACTTGCAACCAACAAACGTTGTATCTTTTACAAGCTCATTAGAGCACTAATTAATGATTGGTGAAATCCAGCTAGATTAGGTGCTCCCTGTGACGTCTGATAGTCTTTTTGATGTATTTGACTGTTGACCTTCCAAAAGATCAAACACCAGTTTCAGTTTGGTTGAGTTGTCATATAAAAGAAAACATGCACTCTCTTTCACCCATTTCTTGTATTGCACTTCACCCACTTCTTCTTACTAGTACTACCACCCATCTCCCCAAACCAATAAAGAACGTTTTGCTTCTCTCTTTGAACAATAACAATAACAACAACAACAAAGAAAAAGACAAAAAGATGGGTTGTTTCTTCTCTGGTATGTTTGTTCTTATTATTCTTAAATTTTGCTACATTTTCTTCTTTATTATTATTATTATCTTGAATCTTGTGTATAATTAAATAAGATCATGCGTTCATGCCAGCATTAATTTATCGAGGATATATATAGCTATTATTTCTATTCATCTACTTTGTTGTTTGTTCTGTCTATATTAATTCTATATGGAAATTCGTGTTGCTTAATTTTGTGGTTAATTTGCTACTTGTTAGTTGTGCTTCTGTGTAATGATTACTTTTGTTGCATCAATGAAGGAATGTTCTTGATTACACTCATGAGCATTGCCCTAGTTAGATGAAGCAAATTTCTTTTTCATGTGTTCTTCAATTATATATTTTGTCTTTTAATTTTAACGGTGTGGTCATGATAATGTTACAATTCGCTCGATAGTGATCGATTCAGCAATTTTGCTTGAGAAATGAAAAATTTAGTGAAGTAATAACAAGTTTGTTCTAATTAATTGTTTTTTCATTTCTTTTTTATCGAGTATCAAACTGAACATGTTTTGCTATTGATCTTTGTCAAAGCTCCACCTATTTCAGAATGGAAGAATCTTACCCTGTAAGCTCACAACTGGTGTCACAAGTTGTCTTATCAAGATTTTGAAAGCAATTATAGACTTAACAGAAACTGAACCTAGGCTATTATTTTTCTTACTTGCATGTTTAAGGAAGTGATTTTTTGATTTTCTATCAAATATGTAATATAATCTAATCAGTGTGGAAATTTTTTGGCATGTTTACATTGATTTCTATGCTATGATATATCAGCAACCTGATCTATACCAATGGATACAGGATACTGGTTTAAGTCTATTATAAGCCCGAGAAAAGCGAAGAAAGATAGATCAAAGAAAGTAAAGGTAAATGCTCAGGATTCTGCTGATTCCTTTTGGTAAAACCAGCGTTATCGTTTCTTTTTTCTAATCCCTTCTTTCACCTCTGCGAGACAGGTGCATTCAGCTGCTGAAAAGGCAAATCGGTCAAAGGAGAGTTCACCAACCCATGGAGAATCTGGTAGTCTCGCCAATGGTGATTTGCAAAGCATTCATGTTGTTCCTGAATTCTCTGCAGAATATATTGCTGCTTTCAGGATTCAAAAGGCTTTTCGGGCATACAAGGTACACTTCAGCGGTGTGATTATAAAAGGATCATTCACTTCTGTTATCCTTTTCTTTTTGTCCCATGAATGAAAACTTATTAGGAAAAAGAAGAAAATGAAGATAGTTGTGAATAATAGCTTGGCAGCAGCTACTGATTCGTTCCTGCGATCATGGCACATACATATTTTCACTTCAATGTTACTTTTCAAGACTTGTTACTTATGTTAGTAATTTCATTTTGTCAACTGAAATTTCCCCTCGCATATAATGGAATAAGAAATTGTTTTGCATAGCAGAAAGAAAGTTAAGAAACGGATACTGATGGCATCTAAAAAATTCACTCACTATCTTCTTCTCACATTTTTCTTCTGTTGACAGGCGTCATACCAATCTCATAGTTTCTCATTACTGCTTGATAATCGAACTAGTCAAACATGACCTTATTCAATAGAATGTTTCTTTCTTCAACTTGTTGAGTTGTGTGATTCTTTCCCTCTTAGAACCTTCTACCTGTGTTTTCATCTTGCTATATTATGTACAAAACCCCAACATAAGATGTCTACTGCTTCATATCAAAACATTTGTGTCAGCATAATTTATTATTTCACTGAGGTGCACTAAGTTCCGTTGATTTAGCCACCAAAAATCCATAACATTAAGGTACTTCAAATTTGGGATTTTATTTTATTTTTCAGTCCTTCTCAGCAAATCGATTTCAAGATTACTTTATTTATCAAATGTTTGCTTTGAATCATACCGCCAACAATAATTTTCTTGTTGTGTCCATTGACCCACTGCAAGTTTTTGAAAATCAAATGAGTGAATATTTATTGGTATCAGCTAAATAGCCTTACCATTTTTCTATGTTTTTAGATCGTGTGTACTGGTTTGACATGAAAACAACTGGTGGTCTGCGGAAGGAAGTGCAGTGAAGTAGCCTAGAGTAGGGGCTTGGGTTGACCAACAAAGACGTAAAAGATAGAAAATTTTTCTCAGCGCCGTTGGAATTTTAAGCAATTTACTTCTGACATTTGGTTGCACTCGTGGGCTTATAGCCAGTCCGTTGTAGAATTTATATGATCTGTAAAACAATAATGGTTTGCCGTTTTCATTTTCAGGCAAGAAAGGCAGTACACCGTCTTAAGGGTGATGTGAGATTTAATGTTCTGATCCATGGTCATGATACTCAAAAGCAAACTTCAAGCACATTAATCCATATACATTCATGGAGCAATATACAAGCTCAGATTAGAGCTCGCCGACATCATATGGTCACAGAAGGGCGTATTAAGCAAAAGAAAATGGAAAACCAGTTGAAACTTGAAGCCAAACTTCAAGAGCTAGAGGTATTAATGACTATTTACCTATTACTTAGTTTCGCTAGAGCAAGTGCCGAGACCTTTAAGAATGGAGGAGGAGCCTTGCATTACAATGAAACAGTTTAAGGAATTTTTGTGCACATTTCATGATACTTATGTCACATATAGGGGTTAAAAATATAATGCTGCAAATTTATGAGGCACATGGCCCGCCAGCCAATAGAGATCTTGGATTCCACTAAAGGTTGTTTTCAATGACTTTGATTTTGGTGAGTGAATGTTTGGAGATCCCAAATGAAAAATAATTTTTTTTAAAGATTTTCCTTTGCATTCAACAGAGTGTATAAACTTTCTTTCCGAATTAACTTTTTAAAAGATTTTCCATTACTTATTAAAATAATTTTCAATGAAAATTCTTTAAATTTAAAATTTGTATCGAACAACCTCTATTTTGTGCTGAATTTTTTGATTTAATTGGAGAAAATGGAGTCGCAAATTATCAATTTTTCACCAATTTGTCAAAATAATTATAATATCATGTCAAAAAATAATTCCAACCCAAAAACAAAAAACACTTTGTTTTCATATTAACTCTCAATGATGGGATTTTTTTCCCCTCCATGTACGTGTGATCCTTAGAATTGTTTTCATTTATACTACAAAACAATTATGAAATAATTGCACTATAAGTACTTTACTTTTTAATTTTTACTCAATTGAATATAGTAATATATTTTACTTTTTTTTATTTAGGTACACCAATTTTTTTAAAGTCTGTCAATCAAGTAATTCTATTAATTTTTCTTTTTATTACTTGATGAGGTTTGTTAACATGAGAATATCAAATTATAATTTCTCTCTTTTTTTCTCAATTAAGTACTTGATTTTATTTTATTTTTTTAGTATAACAATTTTTTTTAACATCAATCAAGTACTTCTATTAATTTTTTTCATTAATTAATGATGTGTATGAATATCAAATTATTTTTTTTCTCTTTTTATTGCAAGGAACTTTCTTCCAAATTATTCTACCATTTTAAAATTTGATAAAGAATTAAAAAATTATTTTTTAGCTACAAAATCTCGAACTAAACTCAATTATACTAGCTATTAAAAAAAAACTCAATTAATTAGATTTTGGACGTGAAAGTTTAAGGAAATTCAAATGGAAGGTTTTTTATCAAGAAAATTCATTTGTATTTTTCTTCAATTTTCACTCCTAAATCTAATTAATTTTTTTTTAACAGTAAACATAACTGAGTTTAGTTTGAAATTTTCTAATTAAAAAAAAATTTTAATTTTTTATCAAATTTTAAAAGGGTAGAATATTTAGGGAGAAAGTTCCTTTAAAAAAGAGTAAAATTATAATTTTGTATTCGAACAAAAAATAAAAATAAAAATTATTAATTAATAAAAAAATTGACGAAAGTATTTAATTAGTAGTTTTAAAAATATTGATGTTTTCAAAAAATAAAAATAAAATTCATGTATTCAATTGAGAAAAAAATAATAAAATTATAATTTGATATTTTGAGGGTCACAATTACATTACAGATGAACAAAAAAATAAAAAATAAATAAAAGTATTTGATTGATAATTTTAAAATATATATATATATATACTTAAATAAATAAAAATTAAAAATTAATGTAATTATAGTGTAATTAATTTTAAAAAGGCAAAAAAAACCTATAGAATCTACGAGAAGCCAAGCAATCTGCATGACATAGGTGGAGTTGGTGAGTAATCAATGAGCCTTCCCGTACTGTGTTGACGGGTTGCTGTTGGTCTTTTTTTTTTTTTCTCGGGGGGCATTCATATTCAGCTATTTGGGTAAATAGAAACACGTCCATGCGGGAAACGGGGAATGTCTTGCTACGTGGTTTTGGTTGGAATTTCTGGGTAATTTTTACTTGGTTTGTGAAAGTGTTCTTTTGATACCATTACCAATTCATGCTCAAGTTCTGACCGACACTGCTATGAAAGAAATTAAATGCATCCAAAGTAGTTAGCCCACAGAAAAAGGCAGTTACCCAGTTAAAAGCAATGTTCCAAGAGGAAGAATTTGAAGGCGTCCTAGCACTTCACTGATTGTGGTTGTAAACCCAGACCTGTATAATTATTGCACCAAGCAACAGCCAGAATTTCGTGAATTCAAGATCCACTATCCACATTTACTTGCTCAGTTTTGACTTTGCTGATTAGGTGGAGTGGTGCGGCGGTTCCGATACTATGGAGGAAATCCTTGCCAGGATCCAACAAAGAGAAGAAGCAGCGGTAAAGCGTGAACGAGCCATGGCGTATGCCTTCTCTCATCAGGTCCATAAAATATTGAAACTAGTACTATTTCTTATAGTTTCTGGTTCATGAGTTGAAAGTAAATGCATGATTTAATGTGAATAATTTACAGTGGAGGGCCAATCCTACACAGTATCTAGGCCAGGCCTATTACAATCTTGGCAAAGAAAACTGGGGTTGGAGCTGGAAGGAGCGCTGGATTGCTGCTCGGCCATGGGAGATTCGGGCTCATGCTGAGCCTAATACCCTAAAGAAAGTTCATTCCAGACAAGAGAGCAAAACGGAGATTAAAATGCCACTCTCAACCAAACCTGCTTTGTCAAATGGGAAGGTAAGTGCGAAAGCTAAAACTTTGTCCAGTCCAACTGTGGATTATCAAGCAACCCAAGATGCCTGTTCTACAGCCGGCTCATCTCATTTGCTGAATCCAAGTCGAGATATTTTAATTTAGCAAACCTATACACTCCTTGATCCTTTTTTTTTTTGGTCTTGTTTATTTGTTTGAGATTGGCATGCAGCGTGTAAAATAAGGCAGCAAACATATATGCCTTAATTTGGTTACACTTGTTATTAAGTAAATTATCTTAGTACCTTGAAAGATTGATGATTCTATTTTCTTACCTATTGTTAATGTTGTTTAGTCTATGATGGAAAAGGCAGATCACACTGTAATTTGGCTTATTCGGTAATGACAAAAAGCTTAATGGTTTAAACTTGAAAAGACGTAACATGGGATGGATGGGTCAAATGTGGAGCTCCAAACCACTTGGGAAACAGGAGGGATGAATTTTAACCGTGAAATTAATTAATGTTTTAATTATGTAAGCACTTGAAGAGCTTCGCACATTGAGCTAACTCATTTGTCCATATCATGCATTAATTAACACACTAATTCCATCGTTGGTTGTATAGCTAGACAAGAAAAAGTACATCCCAACAAGATCTTGCATTCCTAACCCCAATAAAATCTGTATTTTTCTGGTAAATCTTAATTTACTAATGCACCATTCAGCATATTCATCTCATGCGTACCGATATCCCCGCCAGCCACCCTATTTCATTAGCTTTCAATGAGCTGAAAAAAAGAAGAATTTGGCATAATTAAACTTAGGGTTGTATTTTACCTTTGCAATAATAATCAGCAATCCAGTATGTATAAAGACGAAGACTAGCATCCTAAAGCAAAATGTCACCATCTCCATTGAATCCAAGGGATCCACTTTTATATTTTCTGGTTTTTCCCCTGTGGAAAAATAAAACCCAGCTAGGCTGAAGAGATATTTACTAGGGACTGAGATTTACAGGGTAGGGGACCAAACACAGATGGGCAGATGGCAAAGGATCACATTTTTGGTGGTATCCAGCTGCGTATTCTTCCACAATTGATTTTTGTTGTGTTTATCCCTTCTATTTTCATGGTTACTCCTGCAGATGTATGTACTCCACTTGGCCCCACTCCACTTGTTCTACCTTCTAAATTTATCTAAGCTTAGTACTCATTGATCGCACCAAGAACGACAGACCAAGAACTTCGGATTCCTCGCAACCTGATCTTAATGCAAACTGTAACATCCAGGAGGAGATGACTTGTATTTCAAATCCCACTTACCCAAATCTAAAGTACAAATAGGTCCTGAAATAACTCTTGGATATCTTTGACATTGGCTAAATAAGGAAGTTCAGATTCTACCAATTTTGGTAATTGTGGTTGTAACTACACAATATTCTTCAGCTATGGAGAAAATGAGGTGTTCAAGATCTGTCCTTACGTGTTGAGCTCTCTAGTTACATTCAAGACACAAGTCTAGTCAAATCATACTAAAGAAGCTAGTAAAAATGATAGAAAGTAAGGAGTAAATGACACTAGAAAACACAATTCTCCACTCAAATGTACAGTCATAAAGTCTCTCCCATTTCTTTCCCAGCTTCCTATTCTATTCCATTGCACACAGATTCAACTATTGATGGAAAATGACTCATTGTTCGATGCTCCCGAAAATCCGAGCAACGAAAGAGATGTTAAAGATGGGTTTATTCTTTCAATTCTTTTTGCAGATTTGAGGAAGTTGCTGAGGCATCGAAAGGCAAAAAAGCAACCAACAAAAACAATCACAAAGAGAAACTCTCTCTTTCAACTCTCTCTTTCATCCATTCAGAGGAAGTAGCCCTTATTGTGTTGCTCGCATTTTTTGATACTAAAGAGAATAACAATCAGCTCAAACGAACAAGATATAGGAGTGAACGAGGGGAAAATGCTACTACAAAAAGTCTATATTTGCTGATCTGGAGTTGCCTCGTTTTAGGATAACAGATTATGCGCATTAGGTCTGCTCTAGTTGGGGAAAACATGAAACCATTCATCAAAAAAAAAAAAAAAAGTAGTAGTTATGTTTCTATCAGCAATTCTAGAAATGGAATCAAATACAAACAAAACATCATGACATACAAAAAGAGTAGCAAAATAAACACACAGCCAATCCAACAAAAGTTCAAAGCAAATTAAGCTGAGCTATCAAAAGCCCTCTCAAACATGGAAACTAAAATAACAAGAATATAATACTAAATAAACATCTGATGGAAGCTAAACAAACCCGGGATGGACCGAAAAACCTGAAATATCCACTCAGATCTCTCTCTCCCACGGTATTTGCCACTGATTCATCTCCAACTGACCAAAATCTCACCTCCAAGCCGGTCTTTTAAATATCTTCTTAACCCCACAGTAGTCTCTCTTGGAGTAGAACAAGTCCTGCAGGAACCAAGCTAAAATGAACAAATGATGACATGAAATGGATAAAAATTGATGAAATTGAGAAAAGGGTTTTAAAAGTAGCACCTGATAAACATGAGATTTTGGATGTTTTTGCTCAATCAATGGCGAGAATCAGAGGAAGCAGAGGACGGCTTGTTGTGAATGCCGTCGTGCTCCTCTTCTTCGCCCTGAATTCGTGCTGGAACTCGAAACCCAGAGAACCCACCCCCTGAGGCAGTGAATCCAATGCCTGATATTGCAGTTTGCTGATGATGAATTTGTGGAATTTGTTGATGATGATGATGATGAGAATGATGATCAGGAGTGATCGCTGGGTCTATCCAAGCACGAACTGAAGGCGTGTTACTGGACTGAAGGGGTCCCCTCTGAGAAAAAAACTGGTTTTGGCCGAAAAACGGCTGCACAAGTGGCGATGGCGACATCGTCTGTGGCGGTGGTAGAGGTGTGTTGAAGATGAATCCTCCACCTCCGCCACCGCCACCGCCAACACCACTACTAGCATCTGCTGCATTCCAAGCCACCAAATTTCTTTGGAAACGGGTCATTTCTGGTGGGTGCTGCTGCTCAGACCACCCACCAGAAGAGCCATCAAAGCCGAGATAATGGGCAGTGGTTCCAGAGAACAACATTTGATGTTCATTTTGAGCTTGATGACCATGATGGTGTGCTTGCTGTTGCAAAAGAATTGGTTCTTGAAATGATTGGAGCGAGAGCCTCAGATCTTGGCTCTGGCTGCTGGTTCTTGACAGCAAATCTGGTGGATAGTTCTGAAACTGTATAGTTGGAGACGATGTCTCCGTAGAAGCACCCATTGGAAAGAAAGTTTTGATTGTGTCAGCGATGGCATCTGAGTCTAAAGATGGTGGCAGAAAACCTGAACTACTGTTGGGGTTTTCTGCCATTTGTTGTTGCATATTTTGAACTTCAATTGCGGCTGCTGCTGCTGCTGCTTTTGAAGCAGCAACATTTTCAATGGAAAGCTGATACTCCCTCTCATCGCTTATGTTTTGCTGCTGGGTGCTTCTTGTTGTAGTTTTACTAGTTGCGGGGGTGAAGCCCGCAGTGGTTGGATCCCATGCGGGTAGCTTTGCAAGCTCGTCTATGGAAGCCTTGGCTTTCTTGATGAGCCAATCGACGGCTTTGCTTGGACGGTCGTAGCCTAGGCGGTCCTGCACATCGTAGAACTGGATGGCAGTGTGGGCTGAGAGCCGGACGCGGCGGTCTCTGGGGCCTTTGGCAGTACAGACCTTGCTGTGGCGGTCTTTTCTTCCCGTGGACCGAACAATGTGGCCTCCTTGGACCTCCACAATCTCTCCCACTGTGTTTCTTATCCCCAATCTTGACGATGTTGCTGCTTGGTGGTGGCTCTCTCCCATTTTTCTTGCATATTCGAGGCTTTGCTCTTGGAAAGTTGAAGATGAAGAAGATGGAAAGTAAGATCTTTTCTTGGATGGTTGTAGAGGAGGCTGCTGCTGCTGTTGTTGGGTGTCTAATCTTTGATACAAATATTGGTTTTGGTCTTGTTGGGGCTGTGAGTTTTGGAGATACTGATGGTGGACAAGAAAGGGTGGTACTTGTTGATGATGATAGTGATGCTGTTTGGGTGATAACTGATCTTGTTCTTCTTCTTCTTGTCCTTCTACTCCTTCTATATGTCTTGAATTTAGGACTATGTTTTGAAGTTGGTGATGGTGGTGGTGATTCCTTTGAGGATCCAGACTCAGACCCTTGTGCTTTATCTGTTCCAGCTTTGAGTGGAGAACTCTTTTCTTTAATGGGTGGGGGTTGTCTCTTTACTACTCTCTCTAATTTGCTGCTTCCTAGTCTCTTCTTGTTGCTTGTGCAACTGCTGTTGCCACCACTCTGATACCTGATACTGCTGCCTCTCCCACAAGGTTCTGCCATTCAATTTTTCCTCTTCCATCAAACCCAACATCACCTCCAAAAAACACTCTTACCTAAAACTGAAAACCAAGCCTGAAACCCTATGCCTGCTCTATGTGAAGCCTAACCCATCTCTTTCTTTTTCTCTATATTTGCACTTAGCTAGGCTTTTGCTAATTGGCCCCCTTTGATGTACTAAAAGGGTAAATATGGATAATACCTGGTAGAGAAAGAAAACCCAGAACAAATTACAAACCCAATTTCTCAAGAGGGGTCTTCTTGGGAAATCTCCTGCAGTAGGTGTTTTATTGTTTTGTAGAGAGAGAGAGAGAGAAGGGAAGGGAAGGTGCTATAGAACAGTAAATATAGTGACTATACCTAGCGAAGATAAATTCTCTCTCCCTTTCTTGACCTATAAGAAGAGGAGTCCTTGATGATGCCACTGGTAAGTGTGGCAGTGTTTGGTCAGAAATGAGATTAAAGATCTCTGTGACCTCATCACTGCGTCTGCTGCTGCCGTTCTTTGTACTACTACACAATACGCACAAAACACCAACCCAGAACTAATCATTCAATCAAGGCTCCAAGTTTCAACTTTATTTAACCCTTCCTCTCTGTCTAAACCCATTTTTTATTTCTTTGTATGTCTCTATCTCTCTCCCTCTCTCTTGTTCGGTTCTTTTAAGATTTTTTTTTACTATTCCTACTTGACTTGGTTAGAAGTTAGAACCGTTGGTTGTGGTTCAAAGGGAGGGGTGACTCTATCTCTCTCTCTCTCTCTCTGGATGCTTTGAGACACTAGATCCTTTATATGCCAACACACCATCACGCCTCTTGAAAGCGACCCCCCTACAGCTTTTTCTCTGCTCTGCCTCTCTCTTTATTGCTTCCCTCAAAAAGGAGCGACACCATCTTTTCCTCAATGCTTCTATCTTCCACCCCATCCTTTTCTGCTTGGATTTCTTTACATGGCATCTTAAGACCCTGGCTTTTTATTTTTCCTTTGAACCAAAATATGTTTCTCTTCATTTATTGTTCTCATTTTCTGAATATTCTTTGCAAATTTTATTTATGTGACCACTCTTTTTTTTTTCATAGTTATGTAACCATGTGTTTTTAAATTACTTGTAAATTCAAATATAAGCAGATGAATTATCTACATATTTGATCTAAAGAAAACAAAATATCCAAATGATGCTCTATGGCAGTATGGTATTGTAGTTGTAACCATTAAACTTAAATTTTAAGAATAAATGTCTAATTGAAAATTATTAGTGTTATACAAATCCAAATTCAGGAGCCAAATGGACAAATGAACTCGATCATTTGGCTTTCTTTCATGTTTCTTGGATCTTTGTTGTCAAACAATTATTTATGAAAAATCATTTTCATGTGTCCCATGGTCCACTTTTGGTTATTTGGATATTTACAAATAATCAAATCTTTTAAAACTAACTAAATTTTTATTATGTACTATCCTTTCTTATATAATAACCTCCGTACTTATGATTATATTGAAAATTCATATCAATAATTTGTAAATCGTGCATAATGAAATCTTAAACAAAAATTCAGAAGAGACATGAACATGGATTAATGTACATTGTGGTAAATTGTGTCACCATAAAATTATATTCACGTCAACTTTAGACACCATTCTTTTAAAAGCTCAAAAGCAGAAAATTAGTAAGTCAAAATTCAACATTTTTATAATATACGGAGCATTTTGTACATGTATAATTTTTAAATTTTATGTGTAAAAATTTTTATTGTTTGAAACATACACACATAAATAGAGAGAGTGAGAGAGACTTTTAGTTTTGAAAATAAAAAAAATTCGCAACCAAGAATCCAATTGATAATAAGATTTTGGGATATGAGAATCCAATTGATAATAAGATTTTGGGATATGAGAACTAAATTGAATAATTTGAAAAATCTAGCGGCTTAAAATGTATATAATTGTTGAAAACAATGAAAACCCTATGAGTGTTTGATGTCTTCCATTATCTCTATTAGAATGATAATTGCACCAGCAAAATATTTTTGCCTTAATATCACTACCACCGACACATTTTGCAAAAAGTTTATTGTATTAAAAAATTATAAATTTTACATATTTTGATCATTTTAACACGTTTTTTCAATATTAGATAGAAAAAAATATGAACTAAGGTTTTAGTAATCATGTTAGCATGTAAAAAAATTTTTAGACATGATTCTATTTTAAGCCGACGTGACGGGACGGATAGGATGACAACAGAAAATTAAATATCACATAGGATCTCACGTGGTATATTTCACAATCCCAATTTAAATGAAATTCATATTCTCCTAATTCATTCCTAATTTTCTTCGTAATTAAATTGAAATTTCATTTTCTCCGATTCATTTCCAATATTACCAACCGACAACAACCTTTTCTCCTTTAAAAAATTCGACCGCTCACCACTACCGACCACCACACCATCGATCCTTAGCCACTACTAGCCACCATGTTGGCGTCTTCACCAATAAACTCTAGCCAACCACGGATCCGCTAAATCCCAACTCGATTCGGACCACAAACCTCACAAAACACGTCGAACACCACAAATCTCCTATTACCGAGTCACTTCATTGTTGACCTCTTTGCCAAAAGCCTAGCCAAAACCCAATCTCTAGTCATCATCTATCCCCATTAACCTAATCGAACTCTAGCCACTACCATCCCTCAATAAACATAGGGAATTTCAAACAATGGAAATGATATAATATCATTAGACACAAAGACCCTAGAAACAAACCTTGCTCCCGAAGTTCTTGCAAGAAAAAGTAAAGTTAATATTTGGTCTTGTGGGATTGTTTTATTTATGATGATGGTTGGTTAGTTACCATTTCATGATCAAAATGTTATGTTCATGTATAAAAAAATCTATAAAGGTGAGTTTAGATGCCCTAAATGGTTTTCTTTTAATCTAACTAGGCTTCTTTCTAAACTTCTTGATAATAATCCTATTAATAAAATTACAATCCTTGAGATTATAGAGACTAAGTAATTCAAAAGGGGGTTTAAGGTTATTAAATTTTATATTAAAGATGATAAAGTTTGTAATGTTGAAGATGAGGAAGATGTGGGTTCATCTTCTAATCAATCATTGTCCGAATCGAATCGAATTCGAAATTAGAAGATGGGTTACCATTTTCCTAGACTAGTAAGTTTGAATGCTTTTGATATTATATCATTTTTTTCTAGGTTTGATTTATCGGGGTTGTTTGAGGAATGTGGTGAGGGAGCAAGATTCAAAAGAAATATTAGATGGATAGCATTGGAAATGAATTAGAGTAATTGGGAGATGGGGATTTCGGTTCGATTCGGAAGAAAATTATGAACGAATTGGAGGAATGGAGATTTCAATTCAATTAAGATTGTACAATATACCACCTAAGATCCTATATGGCATTTAATCCTTGTTATCATTCTATTTGCCCTATCACGTCAACCGAAAACAAAATATTATTCAAAAAATATTTCACGTGCTAATATACTTAGTAGAAGCTTAGTTCATATATTTTCTATTCAATATTAATAAAAATTGCTAAAATAATAAAAACGTGTAAAGTTTATGATTTTTTAATAAAAAAAGCCTTTGCAAAATAATCTAAATTATCTTAACTTATGTGTGGTTAAATAAGAATCTTGTTAATAGTTACCATAATTACTCTTTGATGTCTCTTTAGGTTTTTTTTTTTTTTTTTTTTTGGTCGTCAATATGGTAAGCGAGGGTTTTAGTCTATGAGTAGTTTTTGTCTTTTTGCGGATTTGTCTATCTTGTGATAGAATTAACTTTTTCTTTTCATTCCTTAGCTATTTTTTTTTTTTTTAGCCTATTTCTTTAATCTATGATTATTTCCATGTTAAGAAAGGGGAGGTTAATAATATTGTAAAGGTGGCTAATGGCAAAAAAGACGAAATGGGGGATGTGATTGAGATACTATTCAAAAACTATTTCAATCCAAAAATTTAAACTATTAGGTGGAGTTCTTGGATATAATTTATATTATTCTCCAACATTCTCTTTTAAGTGAAAGTCTTTTTAGGCTTGAAACTTGCATAGGTCTACTCGTTACCTTATACTTAGAAAATAAAGTAAAAATGGTGATATCATGACAAAAACCATCTCAACTTAAAAAGTTAAATTATGAATGGTTGGTCATTCAACATCTTTTATATTGGTTTATATTTTTGTATTTATTCAACATAGGATATATTTACTAACAAATACCAATAAAGAATTCTGAATCCTTATGACAATATGTTACCTTAAATTTAATGGGTAGACTTTGGACACATAAAACATCTAATGCAAAGGTGTTGATGCAATCTATGATAAGATTTTAGAATCCTCATAAAAGTATGAAGGCAAAAGAGATTGGTAGAAATTTGATTATGCTTCAATTCAATAATATAAAAGAAAAACTTTGAGTCCTTGTAAAGGAGCCATAGCATTTTGATCGTCATGTTGTGGCTTTAGTTGGTCTTAAAGAATATGATAAGCCATAAGCAATCCGAGATGAATCTCTTTACCATTATTTTTTAGGTTTATGTGTTTAATTGATATTTGAATTATTTCTTTTTAAGACTGGCCCAAATCTTAGGAAATTTATTGGGTGAGTTTAGTGAATAGGAGAAAACAAAGGTTGTGATTGATATCTAAGGTTTCGAGTGAGGATTAGACTTCTTAGTCCTTTAAAGGTTGGTTCCACTATTAAGGTTGAAGTTTATAAATAAAGCGAGTCTAGTATATCTAAGAATTAAAAGAAAGACTTGATATTTGTAAAAAATAAAAAAAGGTTCCTTGCCTAAATCTCATAAAGGAAAGTGTTTCTTCAAAGAAGCCATCTCCCTCTAAATCTTCAAAGAAAAGAAAAATCAAGAATTACAATGATCTCTCCGATCGAATTGTCTTGAAAAGAAAATTCAACGTTGTAATCCTACATCGG